TAAGGGTAGTTTTACTTCTTCTTTTCCAGTTTGGATGCCTTTTCTTTCTTCTTCTTGTCTGATCACTATGGCTAGCACTTCCAGTACTATATCGAACAGAAGTGGTGAAAGTGGGCATCCTTGTCTTGTTCCTGTTCTTAGTGGAAATGGTTTTAGTTTTTGCCCATTGAGTATGATGTTGGCTGTAGGTTTGTCATATATGGCTTTTATTGTGTTGAGGTATGATCCTTCTATTCCCACCTTGCTGAGAGATTTTATCAAGAAAGGGCTTTGGATTTTGTCAAATGCTTTTTCTGCATCGATTGATATGATTATGTGATTTTTGTCTTTCAGTTTGTGATGTATCACATTTATTGATTTGTGGGTTTTATACCATCCGTGCATCCCCGGAATAAATCCCACTTGGTTATGGTATATGATCTTTTTAATGTAATGCTGGATCTGATTTTGTTAGAATTTTGTTGAGGATTTTGGCATCTATGTTCATCAAGGATATTGACTTGTAATTCTCTTTCTTTGTAGTGTCCTTATCTGGTTTTGAGATTAGGGTAATGCCTGATTCATAGAAAGAGTTTGGAAGTGTTCCTTCCTCTTGAATTGTTTGGAATAATCTGAAGAGGATAGGTTTTAGTTCTTTGAATGTTGGTAAAACTCCCCTTAAGTTAACATAAATACCATACATTTTCTGAAAAATAACTGTTTCCCAAAATAAACTTAAAAGAATGACATTGTTTTCCACTTTTGCATATCTCTTTAATGTCTAGTTTAGTAGAAGAAAACTGAATTCTCATGTTTCTGCATTCACCCTGTTGTGGTATGTTGTTTTGGTTGAAATTTATAAAGACTATCCAGCCTTATCCAGTACTTTAAAAATCTTTTAAAATAATTCTGATTATTCTCCTTTAATATTACATAAAAATAGACAAGTGGGCCCTAGCCAGTTTGGCTCAGTGGATAGAGCGTCAGCCTGTGGACTGAAAGGTCCCAGGTTCAAATCTGATCAAGGGCACGTGCCTGGGTTGCAGGCTCGATCCCCAGTAGGGGGCATGCAGGAGGCAGCCCACCAGTGATTTTCTCTCATCATTGAGGTTTCTCTCTCTCTCTCCCTCTCCCTTTCTCTCTGAAAGCAATAAAAATATATATATTTTAAAATAGACAAATAGAAGTTTTCTTAAATATGTATTGCAATATGGAATTGACTCCATTTAACTAAATTTTTTGTACTTTGTTACATTAAAATCTGTTATTCTGTCTTACACTTTGATTGAATATTTTATCCATGGATGATTTTATGTCAGGCATTGCTCATTTGTATAATATTGGTTCACTGAGTTACTTAAATCTTCCAAATGTTGACATGTTTTATTATATAATATCAATTATCACGTTCATTAAGATTATCATAAATCTTATCAGTGGTGGATACAAATTTTCCTAAAATTTAATTTTTACTTGAATTTTATTATTGACAACAAATAATGTCAGCTGTTTTCTTTAGTATGACAGGGTCACTTTGTCAATTTTCAAGAAAATGTCTACTAAACAGCCAAGTTTAAATGTCCATACTTTAAAAAAAAAAAAAAGTCCATACTTTGCCAGTCATTCTTTAAAATAAAAACTATGTTAAATGGAAAAAATGTGGCTAGGTTTTGCTCACAGCTTAGTCACAGACTGAAGTATTTTCAATATGCAGTACTTTATGTATACATTCTATTTTATCACACAATATTAAAAAGACATAAACTAAAGGATTGAAATATAATAAAATTATATGACATATAATAAAATTTACTGCTGGTGTGTGCTGGTAAAGAATACAGTGATTACCAGTATAATTTTGATTTAGTGCCATTCCTTTGATTTGTGTTAAGCTACCAGCATTTTTACCCACCACTGCTTTTGTTTGAACCTCATGTGCCTTGGGTGTTTTGGAGGCCCTAGGTGTCTGAGAACCACACTCAAGAACTGCTTACATGAATTTGTATATATAAAGGTCACCTGGATTGCAGTACAATCTGCACAGTCTGCGTGGGAATTATTTAAACTTTAACATATAAAATCGGGTGCTCTGCTGGCTGATTCTTTGGTGGAGAGGATAGTTTCAAAACCATTCTGGGAAATCTTTTCTTTGGGGCTGGCAATTTTCTCCAAAGAGGAAATCTTCTAGGTTCCAGTTGGGAATGGTAGGATGAAGAGTGATTCCTCTGGCTCCTGGGACTATGGATTCCTTTACTCAGTTTATGGATTTTTATTAATTTTTTTGTTTTATCTCTGTTTCTCATGCCTGCCCTTTGTTGTTCCTGGTGTTTGTTCACAAGTTTACATTGTCTCCAGTTCAGAGTTAACCTTTAGCCACTGTGTAAGGATAGGTATCTGTTGTGCGAGTTATAGAAAAAGCATTTAGATTTCTCAGCAGTCTTTGTGCTTCATTTTTACCTTTTCTATACTGAATATTGTACTAAATTCCTCCAAATACCAGATTTTTTGGGTTGCCTGGACAAATGGATTCTCTTCCTACACTTCCCACTCAGATGTTTTGTTGTAACTTCCTCCACACTGTGAAGTCAGTTTTCAGTCCTCCAGCCACTTTCCATTTAAAAATGTGTTGAAATCTCTTTGATAATAAGTCTGCCTTGGTGTTTTCTTGGTCTTTATGAGTGAAGATGATTTATTTCTTTGCCCTCATTGTAGCAGGATTTTGGGAAAGTGAGGAAATAAATGTATGTGATTAATATACCATTATCACAGGCTTGTTTTAGTCACTAATCTGGATTTTAATCCATACCGCTTATTGTGGTATTGCTTTAGTTCTCTACTTCACCTGTGAACCCTTATTTTTCATTTGTAAAAATAGAATTTATGGTATCTAATATGAGAATTAAATGAGATAGTGAATATAAAGTTCTTAACATACTACATGCATTATATGTGCTTATTAATTGGTAATTGTCATAAACTGTTTTGCTGGCCTCTGGCAAACTGAGGTTTTATTCTATTCCTTCCTCCCCGTAAAAGATTTGAAATAAGCAAAATATTTAATTTGTCTATCACTTAATATTACTTAGTTTGACAGTGGGTTACTGTGACTCATATGAAATGATAATTTCACAAATGTTTATATTTAAGTAACTATACTTAATATGTTTGTATAAAAATACTGTGAATACAACTTGTTCAAATATAAGTTGTCTAAAACTATAACTAGTTTTCTATTCAAGTATAATGACTTGGGAGTGTGGGGCACTGACCCACACACACAGTTGAAAATTCGTGTATAACTTTAGACTTACCCAAATTTAGCTGTAGTATGGTTTTCCTTAGGTATCTGCAGGGGGTTGGTTCCAGGACCTCACTCCCATCCCAAAGGATACCAAAGTCCGTGGATGTGCAAGTCCCTTATATTAAACAGTGTAAAATATTGCATACAATTGGCCTTCCACATCCGTGGATTGCCAACTGCAGATTGAAAGTACTGTTCTTAATACGAAGTCAGTTGAATCCACAGAAATGAAACCCAGGGATTCAGGGTGTCAACTATATATTTATTGAAGAAAAATCTGCGTTTAAGTGGACCTGCACAGTTTACCCCCGTGTTGTTCAAGGAACTGTAATTATGGCCCATATTTGAAACAGAATCTAAGGCAGTGGTTCTCAACCTTCCTAATGCCGCGACCCTTTAATACAGTTCCTCATGTTGTGGTGACCCCCAACCATAAAATTATTTTCCTTGCTACTTCATAACTGTAATTTTGCTACTACTATGAATCGTAATGTAAATATCTGATATGCAGGATGTATATTCATTGTTACAAATTGAACATAATTAAAGCATAGTGATTAATCACAAAAACAATATGTAATTATATGTGTTTTCCGATGGTTTTAGGCGACCCCTGTGAAAGGGTCGTTCCACCCCCAAAAGGGTCGCGACCCACAGGTTGAGAACCGTTGATCTAAGGAAACCAGGTATTCTTATAACTGGATAACTGTTTCATGACCTTAATTCAGAAACTTGTGGTACAGAGAATTTCATATAGGTTTCTTTTAAAACAATTTTTAAAAATTATACTTTTGATAATGAGAATTATTCTAGTTTGTATTTTTAATTAAAAAATTGTTTTTCTAGTTCCTTGGTATATAAGATTGCACACTTAAATTTCTTTTATCCAGAGAGCTTAGCATAATAAAAGCAGTTTGTTTATCCATAATGATAAATTATTATTTATCATTTCAGGAAATTGCAAGACCTAATAAGGCTGAAGGAGAAACAGAAACATCAAATTCTGAAAGGTAAATAAATATAAGGAAAAACTGAATCTCAAATCCAAGTATGAGTATAAAATGACATTTGAGTTGTATTATTGTAGTTAAATAAAGGAGTATTTAAATACTTGTATATGTTATTGTTTTTAATAATGACTTTTAATTAAAATAAATTTTTGAAATTTTAATACAGCAAAATTATATTACAGATCCCTAATTTTGAAATACTTTTATACATATAGAGTATAAAGTTGTTAAAATGTTTTAAAGTACTTACTAGTAAGTAAAATTTAAGAGATTTTTATTGCCCCTATTAAACAAAAACAGTTACAATTAGCTACAAGTTACAACATGGGGACAATTATCACAAATAGGTAATTTTGAAATCTTTTTTTTTTAAGTATTTTCAAAAAGCTTTAAAGCTACTTATTTATGTGGTGACATCCCAGCTTAAAGTTTCAAAATTTAGCCCTAACCGGTTTGGCTCAGTGGGTAGAGCGTCAGCCTGCGGACTCAAGGGTCCCGGGTTCGATTCTGGTCAAGGGCATGTACCTTGGTTGCAGGCACATCCCCAGTTGGGGGTGTGCAGGAGGCAGCTGATCGATGTTTCTAACTATCCTTCTCCCTTCCTCTCTGTAAAAAATCAATAAAATAAATATTAAAAAAAAAAGTTTCAAAATTTAGAAATCGGTTTTTAAAAATTTAATGCTCAGGCAGAACACTAAAGAACACAAAACACCCTCCAGTTCCCTTTCCCATCGGATCTGAACACCGATCTTGGTGGTTGTAGAGGAGGAAAAGTAATAGTGAAGCTGGCCTCACAGTGCTTACAGTCTGTGGGCTAGTTTCAAACAAGGTATAAAAAAAAAAAAAACACAAGACATTCACAGTCTTTTAGTAAAAGAATTCCAACTTTCTAATTAGAACTCTTTCCAGATAAAGATAATCTTATTTTACCTTTTGAATTAAATAATTTCTCCATTTTTATCTTTCTACTGTATATTTTACAGTAGGTTGCTTGTTAATCTCATGAGATTAATTAATCTATTGCTCTTAAAAAACAAATTATGGAATAAGGTTTTATGAAAGGTCTTAACTTAGACTTAACTTAGCATTTTTCATAGAATCCTGGAAGGAAGGGAGAAGAGTTTAGAGTGAAAAAGCGACTAGTCACTTCTGAATTACTTAACATTTTTTGTAAATTGTAGTTAGTCCAATAAGAGCTGAACAAAAATAACAATTATACGACTCTAAAAGAGGAAAATAAAATTTTTTTCAGATGATGTAATTGACGTATAAGAAACAAAAAAGTGAGCTAATATTCTTTTCTATATACCAATAACATCTTTTCTATATACCAATTACAAAATATAATGGACAAAAGAGATAATTCACAATATTAACAAAAATGAGAAATGTGTAAGATCTAAATAAAAAACAAAAATTTACTGAGATAGAAAATAATATATTAATAACTTGCATGATAGGCCATTTGCAAATTAAGTTATGGGTTTAGTGAACATTTAGTTAAAAATTCCAATGACATTTGGTTTGGAAACTGACAAAGTTTAAGGTTCCGATTTTTCTATTTATTAATACCATACTTTCTTTAATTACTAGAGGCCTGGTGCACAAAAATTTGTGCACTGGGGGGGGTGGTTCCCTCAGCCCGGCCTGTGCCCTCTCACAGTCTGGGACCCCTCAGGGGATGACCACCTGCTGGCTTAGGCCTGCTCCCCGGGGGATTGGGCCTAAGCTGGCAATCAGACATCCCTCTGGCAGCCCGGCAGCCCTCGGGGGATGTCCACTTGCCAGCGGGGAGCAGACCTAAGCTGCAGTCGGACATCCTTAGCGCTGCTGAGGAGGCAGGAGAGGCTCCCACCACCACCGTTGTACTGGCAGCCATCAGCCTGGCTTGTGGCTGAGCAGAGCTCCCCCATGTGGGAGCCCACTGACCACCAGAGGGCAGCTCCTGCATTGAGCGTCTGCCCCCTGGTGGTCAGTGTGTGTCATAGTGACCAGTCATTCCCAGTCTTTCTGCTGTTAGGGTCAGTTTGCATATTACCCTTTTACTATATAGGATAGAGGCCTGGTGCACTGGTGGGGGCCGGCTGGTTTGCCCTGAAGGGTATCCCAGATCAGGGTGGGGGTCCCGCTTGGGTGCCTGGCCAGCCTGGATGAGGGGCTGATGGCTGTTTGCAGCTGGTCACACCCCCTTCAGGGTGGGGGCCCCCACTGGGGTGCCTGGCCAGCCTGGATGAGGGGCTGATGGCTGTTTGCAGCTGGTCATATCCCCTTTAGGGTGGGGGTCCCCACTGGGGTGCCTGGCCAGTCTGGATGAGGGGCTGAGGGCCGTTTTTAGGCTGGCCAGCAACTGAAGCTCCCAGCCTCTCTTTTTTTTCTTTTTTTTTTATTCTGGGATTTATTTACCTTCTATAATTGAAACTTTGTTGCTGTCACTGGCGCTCCCAGCTCTGAGGCTGCGGCTGGCTGAAAGCAGGTATCTGGGGTTTGTTTGGCTTCTATAATTGAAACTTTGTTGCTTTTGGAGCTGTTGCTTTTGGAGCTTAGAGCAGGCCGCGGCAGGCGGGGAACCTTGGCTTCCTCCATCACTGGAGCAAGCAAACGTCCTGCTTGCTTCAGCCGCGTGGCTGCCGGCTGCCATCTTGGTTGGCAGTTAATTTGCATATCTCGCTGATTAGCCAATGGGAAGTGTAGCGGAGGTATGGTTAATTACCCTTTTTGTCTTTTATTAGATAGGACTGCCCTGTTGTTAGATATTAAGGTTGTTTCTGTATTCACTATTGCAACATTATTTTAATGGACATCCGTGTACAAATATCCTTTACATTTTTAAATGATTAAATTTAGGAAGAAGAGCAATATAATGAAGGCAGTTTGCTCTATTAAATAACAAAGTACATTGTAAAATGTATAATTGTTAAGACTATGTAGTATTGGCTCTAGAATAGTGTAAAGACAGATCAGAGCAAAATGCATTGCAGAGAAATGGCCTTATAAATATAATTTAGTAAGTAATAAATATTTGATACCATTGGTTTGACATTTGTCATTTCATTAGGGAAAAGTCTAAATTCTGGGTAGATTTATGTAAGAAATAAGACTTGTGTTATCATAAATTAATTCTCACTAAAATAAGCATTGTTACATCTAGATAAGGGGCTAGAGATACTCTTAGAAGTCTTTTGTTTCTAATGTTTTATTATTTACTAGAATCTAGTGGTCGGCAAACTCATTAGTCAACAGAGCCAAATATCAACAGTACAACAATTGAAATTTCTTTTGAGAGCCAAATTTTTTAAACTTAAACTATATAGGTAGGTACATTGTTATTAACTTAATTAGGGTGCTCCTAAGGCTTAGGAAGAGCCACACTCAAGGGGCCAAAGAGCCGCATGTGGCTCGCGAGCCGCAGTTTGCCAACCGCGGTACTAGATAGTTTCTATTAACACATCAAGGTAAAAGTAAAGACATAGACACACACGCAAACATATACGTATACAAACATGCACACACATCTATGAATATATGCATGTATATTTACATATATTTTTTCAGGCATATTTTTGTGTTTTCTTTAATTAGGTTGTTAAAAATTAGGAAAATATTTGTGAATGCTTATTAGATTTTGCATAGGGAAAGACACTATAACCAAAAGAGGACATATAAATCATAAAAGAAAAATAGCTATTTTTACATATATATTTCTTTCTTATTTAAAGTACTCTTAGAAATTAATAAGAAAGCTTAAATTTTAACTAAAAACAGGCAAGGATGATAACAAATGAAAATGATAACCAGGACTAAAACCAGTTGATAGACTCTTCAGGTCTATTTTTAATATGTGATTCTGGAGTTTTTCATTCTTGCCTCAGAAAATGGCCATCTCCTAAATTGTAACGTGGCAAGTACTGTGAACCTGTTTTGTTTTGTTTTTTTCCTCCTTTTTGGTGGGCAAGTGGGCCTTGGCTTTTAAAAAAAAAAAATTTAGAGCATGTCTTTATTATGATAATGTTAAAAAATATTGTATTATGAAGCAATAGGTAATAAATGGCCTTATTTTTCCAGTAAACATGATAAAGCTTCTTCAGAGGAAAAAAGTGGATGTGATGCAAATGCATTTGAAGGCTCATCAGCAACAAAAAGTGAAGAAAGCATAATAATTTCAGATAAGGAAAACAATACCTGTCTTGAAGACAAAGAAACTGGCTCAAAGACTATCTTCAGTTATGTTTCAAATATTGGTAAAGATAAAGTGGAAAAGGAAAACCAAATAGAGAACATTGATCAGGAAACGGAGTTGAAGAAGTGCCAAAGTTCAGAAAACATAATTTCATGTGATCAGATTAAAGATCAAAGCTCCAATGAAGCTAGGTTTTCTTCGAAGAATATTAAGGATTTGCAGTTAGCATCTGGTGATGTGAGCATTGATCAGTTTTTGAGAAAAAGAGATGAACCTGAATCTGTTAGTTCTGATGTTAGTGAGCAAGGCAGTATTCATCTGGAACCTTTGACTCCATCGGAGGTACTTGAGTATGAAGCCACAGAAATTCTTCAGAAAGGTAGTGGTGATTCTTCAGCCAAGTCTGATGAAGTAGTGTCTGATCAAAAGGATGATGTTCCTGGAGAAAATAGCCCTTGCACAACAGAGACAACAGTAAACCTGGCAGATGAAAAAGAAAGAAGTTGAAATTAGTTGTCATTCTCAGTTTTAGTGTATCAGTGGTAAGAGCATTCAGATCAGTGCTACCAGGTGAGCTCAGTGGTGCTGTTGTAGAGTTCAGAAATAGAAAAATGTGAGGAGGTCATTTATACACTTTATCTGTATGTTCAACCTAGGTCATTACAGAAATCAGTTGAATAATAGCATGATTAGTATGAATTTCCAAGAGGTTTTAAAACATAAATAGAAAAGCTTCATTTAACAGTTCTCAAGGAAATGGAACTTGGTTGCCAGTATGAATTGATTATTAGAATATTATTTATGTTTATAAAGCAGTGAAACTTCCATCAGTCCTAAGCTAAAAATCCTTATTATCTTTATATTCTTCTCAATTAACTTAAAAGAAGAAATTTGGAAACAATATATCTTTTGGGAATTTTTAGATAATGGCTAATTGGCATTGTTAATAAAGCTTTATTTGGAGTATGATGCTGGTAAATGCGTAGAGTGTGAAATTAATGAATCTATTGAGAATTTTGATACACATAAACTTAATTTTGGATGTAATGTAACATTCCAGACTGTCAGAAGCATGTAAACAGAATATTTGAATCTGTGTACCTCCATACATGTGTTAGTCTGCCAGGCTATAAGCTTACCTTAATTAAACTTTCAGTGAAAGTGAAATTATTAAAACATAAATTTATATTTGTGTTTCATGTCAGTGTGAGCTGTGCAGAAATCCCTTGATGTGCTAGTTGTATAAAGTAGAAACCCACTGTTAAAACTCCTGTAGTTATTATGCTTTTAACATTGTTTTAATGATCTTTAGAAATAGACCCATAAAAATGGTCTGGAAACCAAACCAAAGTATGGAATAATGTAGATATTGTAAAGCAGTCAACTGAAAACATGTCCTGGCGTGAATCCAGCCATGTTTAAGTGACATTTTCTTTAATTGTAAAATAGAAACTTCAAATGGGACCTAAAGCAGTGATGTAAAAAATTGTTTTGGGGATATTTAGTCTAATTTATCCATAAGATGGCTGCTAAATTGATTTCTCAGTTTTTAATCCTCTAGAAATAATAGATTTAGAAATGAGTAAATGAACAACCGTAGTTTGCGTTGAAGTACTAATAAACTTTTATTTAAAATGCTACATTTTTACTTCT